CTTTCAGCAAGCGCTGCTCATCCTCTGGAGGTGGCTGCACTTGGCTGAGGTGTGTATGTTTTATTTTGTATCTGTCTTGCTTTCAGCAAGCGCTGCTCATCCTCTGGAGCCATCCTGCACTTTGTATTGAACTTTAAGCATGTTTTTGTAGCTTTTGGGTCAGACTTGATGTCTGTAGTGAACTTAACTTTTGTATTAAACTTGGTGTGGGCTCTGCTCAGTCTCTGGGCTGTGCCGCACTCTCTTCGTGGAATCTGTATTTCTTATGTTATATTAAACTTGTTCTCACTGTCTGTGACTCTGCCCTTGAATTCTTTCCTGTGGCAGAGTCAAGAACCTGGTAAGAGGACTGAGCAGGTTGAGGCTGACTACTGGGCCCCCAGACCCTACCTCTGACCTCACTCCCTCCCATAAGATAACACTGACATTTTGGTGTACGTCCTTCCTTCCAATCTCTTTCCTTCACATTTTTTCCCTAATGAGTTGATGCTTTATTTATTGCTCAGTGATTTGTGCTTTTTCTCTGTACAGTATGTCTAAGAGTTCTTTCCATGTCAGCACATTAGACCCTTTAATTTCTAATTGCCCTCACCCTTCCAGTACCTGGAAAGGTTTCTACAGAGAGCTCTTAGCCAAAGCTTTGGTGTTATTTGGCATGGGGATTCTTTATTCTTCTTTGCTGATAATATATTTTTACCCATTTTTCTGTTGAATTGTTTACCATTTTCTTACTGATTTGTACAAGGAGTCAGTTTAGACACATAGTGTTTTAGAAAAAATACTTACATTCAGAGTAATTAACTGGCTTTATCTTTCCAAAAGATTGGACAGATAGGAATTTAAGATTGTGAGGAGATGCTTCATGGTTTGTGCCTGTGACCCCACATTATTTCTTTATTAATTCTGCCAACTGGGAGGCTGATAGCTCTGGAAATTAGAAGCTAGTGTTTTCCGTATTTGAATATCCCCCATGAGGTTGCCATGACTCTTTTACTTTTTCTGTTCATTCTTTTCCTACCAATTCAAGGATGTGAACTGTGTTTCTTCACAGAAATTTCCAAGGAAACGCTGCCTATTCCATTGATGACAATGCATGGGAAGCATACCGCTGGACTGAGATACTGTGAGTATATCCTCTTCAGATACGAATACATGGCTTGAGAAAATTTTAGATCTGGGTTTAACTGATTCCCTATAGTATTAATTTTTTTGCTTCAATCAAAATGAATATTTGGAGTTCAGCAAATTAATGTGTTTTATTCTATTTGCTTCTAGGATGCTTCCTTTTTGGAGTAATTTTTTGGTCACTGTCTCATTTCTCAGCCTAAACTTTCCTTCTCAGTTGAATTCATTATTATTATTTTAAAAAATTTTTACTATCCTGCCGGGGACCAGCCCCAGCACAGAGATTGTGAAGGTCCCCACTGGTAAGGGATCCCCCAAAAGGGAGGAA